CCTATATATAGATATCCCCTCTCTTGATTCCTAAAGATTGGTATAATTCGCGAAAAGTTAGGGTTCTTGCTTCACTCACCGCTTTCTTAATCTCATTTTTAGCTTTCTTATACTTTTTCCAAGTTTGGACATTTTTTACACCTAGACCATTCTTTAAAATAATAATTTTTTACTCTAACTTTACACTGAACACTCTCATTCCACCACCATGATTCTTTACCCCTAGGTCCAAAACCTCTAAATCCTCCCAAAATTTTACCTTAGGGTGTTCTGCTAACCCAACTTGAGGTGCGCAAGTACTAATAACAATAAAGGTGTCTTATTCCATTACTAATTTCAAGAATATGATTCGATCTCCTACTCTTTTCACATCCGCAATATCTTTCTCCCACTTGTCCATAATAACCCCCACCCTATTTCTCAATCTAACTTTTTCGGTGTACCAAAGCTTAAAATCTAGAGTAGTCTAAGTCTTTCGCATTTTCATCTATCCACTTAGTTTATTATAGGCACATAAAATTGATCTTCCTCTTAATCATAATGTCCATTATTTTCATAGAATTTTTCAATAAACGTGCATATATTTCATGATTCAAAACAAATCATACACACATAAACTAGCTTCTTTATCACAGCAATTCACGAAAATGTGAGAACTCTTTCTTATTTTTTACTGCATCTAGACGGTGATGCAACAGCCTTTACACTTTTGACACTATATTTAAACCATACATGATGTTGTTTACAGACTACGACCTAATATTAATTGTCAATTGTATAACACAACCCTATCTTTTTATTATCACTATGTTTAACCATACATGATGTTGTTTACAGACTACGACCTAATATTAATTGTCAATTGTATAACACAACCCTATCTTTTTATTATCACTATGTTTGGATACGCGGTGGAACCCACAAACGTATGTCTAGCCCATAAGCTACACTTGTAACTTCTCTTTTTTATGGTGGGGTGTCAAACATGCATTATATATATAGTTGAATGACTAGATCATTATTTTATTCTTAAGTTATATTGTAAAATATAGTGATTTTAGTGTGTTGCTTATATCATGAAGACTTGCAAAATGTGATTGATTGAAGGTGATTTTGAATAAATAAAAATCAAAAAATCAAAAACGATTTAAGAGTTTCATTTTATTTTTAGGCGTTTGAATTATAAAAGTTATAAAGAAAAAAGCTGAGAAAAAGAAATACATTCAAACAAATTCCGTATTTAGGCATACTAAAAAAATTCAGTATTTAAAGATATGCAATCACATCAATAATTGCAAAAAACTTATAAGTCAAACATTAACTAAAATAACAATTATACAATTTTATGCAAAATATATCTTTTGACTTTTTTTACTAATATTCTAAATTTACTTATTGATATTTTCCTTAAAAGATCTCTTTTTACCAATATCTCTTTCGATATTTTCCTAATTGTTTTTTATTAATAAAAAAAGAAAAAAATCTTTATAGATAAGTTCAAAATTTCATATAAAATTCCATTTTTCACAATTCATCGTAAAATGATCAACATCTTACCCAGAAGTTTATAAAATATAAATCAAACACTAATCAAAATAATAACGCATTTTTTATACTATTTTTGTAAGACAATAGTCTAAAAATATTTATTGACATATTCTTTTAAAAGAAATTCAAGTGTTTTTCATTAAAAGAGAAAAGTCAGAAAACATAATAATGATTCTACTAAATATTCATTTTTACATTTCATTGTTTGACGATAAACCCTAACACACACACGAATCTAAAAAAATGTATCTTAAAAATATATTCTTTAATTAATTAAAAATAATAATTACACAATTGTCTATATTTTTTTTAAACGATACTCAAAAAAACTATACCATTTATTTACATTTTCTTAAAAAATTTAAGTAATTCATCAATAGGAAAAAGAAGAAAATTTTTTTTAATGATAAACTCAAATTTTCACAAACATATCCATTTCCCCGCAACTCATCATTAGAGGAAAAAATAAAGTTTGATATTATTTACGTGTTCAAAATTTAAAATTAATTTTATACAAAATATATTTTTTGAATTTTTAACTAATACTCTAAATATACTTATTCATATTTTCCTAAAATCAATATTATATATATTTATACAATATAATTATTAAAAAATCTATGCGTTTACACAGGTCACGTAAAATTGATATGCATATTAAATAAATATCGTATAGTTATAATTAAAAAATATATATAAAAATATATACGAATTAAGAAAAAAATTCAATGATGATTATCACAAAAAATTTACTTTAATTTATTAAATTTTAGTAGTTGTCAGGATATACATAGAAATTATAATGAAAAATATATGAGTATATGGTGTACTACAATTCACACATATATAAACTGATTTTTTATCGTATATTTGTATGGGTTGTGCAATATCGTTATAAATAATAAATAAATATAGTATAATGATGATTAAGAAATATATATAAAAGATATACAAATTAAATAGTGTCGAGCCATCGAAAATGTATATTTAAATATAAAATAAATGAAATAATTAAGTAGTCATCTACTTGTATGTTGTACGGGTTGCACAATATCGTTATGAAAAGGAAATAAATATAATATAGTGATGATATATATATATATATATATATATATATATATATATATATATATATATATATATATATATATATATATATATATATATATATATATATATATATATATATATATATATATATATATATATATATATATATATATATATATTTTTTTTTTTTCAAATACAATAATTTGTATTTGGTGTTTTACTAATAGGAAAAATAATTGAATAGGTTATATTATAAGTTATTAAATGAAATAAATTTTTTTTAGAAATATTTAAAAATTAATTAAAATTGAAATTTTAGAATAAAAAACATATGGGTTGCTTATTTATTAAGATGTTTTAGAATGCCGAGTTCTATGGGAACACTCTTTAATTTTATTTTGTACTGTGTTATTAACTAAATGTCTCCACACTTCAATTATCACAATTTCATTTAATTATTCTAGTGAATTTAGATTATATGGTAAGTGATATATTTTATTTCAATCAAATGTTCAGTGTTTTATTCGGTATTAAACATAAAATAATATTTAACATGACTGACAACTTTATATATTGTAGTTATCTCGAATAGAGAAATTGGTCTTTATAGTCGCATAGAGAATACTTGATTCGAGAAATTAATATGTTTTGCACGACCGATAAGTTGCTTATTTATTAAGATATTTTAGAATACATAGTTTTATAGGGACACTCTTTAGCTTCATTTTGTAGTGTGTCATTAACTAAATGTCTTGCACACTTCGATTATCAGAATCTCATCTAACTATTCTAGTGCATTTAGATTATATGGTAAGTGGTCTATTTTCTCTCGACAAATATTCAGTATTAAAACAATGTTTAACATGAGTGAGAACTTTACATATTGTAGTTCTTTCAAATAGAGAAATTAATCTTTATAGTCGCGTAGAGAATACTCTGTTCGATAGATTAATATACTTTATTTTTAAAGTGAAAGTTAGAACTAAAGAATCAAATTTTAATATTTATTTTTAGTAGAATCAAATTCATAAAATTTATCATCAAGATTAGAGTTAAAAATTGGATTAAAAAAATAACTTTAGCAAATTATATCAATTAATTTTATTATATTTTTTATATGCTATCAAATATAATTCTTGTTTGTCTATGTAATTTTCATTTACACCCTGCAAGTATAGAAACTACATCCTTCAAAAAAGAAAAAGAAAAAACATACCTCTAAAAAAATTTTGACATCAATAAAACTATAATAAACTTTTCTTCTACATTACACATTTATACAATTGACCTGTGATCTAGCAAGTGTCATATAATCTAAAAGTTCTTGTATCGTAACAGTTAATGACAACAACTCTTCAATGTCATCAATCATACATTTACTTGATTGAAATGAGCATAATACATATCTAGTAGTTGAAACAATGTATATATTGAAATGGAAAATTGAAAATCAGCATGACATCATAAAAGATTAAATTACTTGTCATTGATATATATATTGTTTTCAGTAATTTTTCAATAACATTAAGTGATTCATCGTGACTCTCCAAATGAAAGTAACACTTAGATATAAATGAACATCTCCATATTTTTACACATAAGCAACTAACATGAATTGAATTACTAGCACTATTTTCCAAGGAAAAATTATTTTTTGTAAGGTTCAGACTCTGGTCACAAAGCTGAATTGATGCATCATACTTTTGCAGCTGCAAGTTGTTACCATAAATAAACAACAACTTTTAGTAAATCAATGATTCATGTTTATCTATCACTAACCAAACACTTGATCCATAAGCAACACAGATTAAACATGTTGGAACTAATCTCGCGCATCTTAAGTGATTGATCTGATTTCTTTTTTCTGCCATGTATCTTTTTTAACTAACTGCATGCTCCGATGTTACTAAGCAATTAACATGTTGGAGTTTTATATATTTTCGATGGTACTTGCATTTGAATAATACTCCTAGGCACTGATGAACCTATGTTTCTATTGTTTCAAGCAACACTAACCCAATTCAGAAACTTGAATCCAACAAATCTTCTAGACTAAAAACAAACAAAAAACTACTTGAAAAAGCTATAGTTTCAATGCTTGGCAAAATTTCCATCCTGAGAGTGTGAACAGGGAAGCCATCAGTTTTGTTCTTCATGTTACAAATTTGCGTAAAAGATTATTTAAACTCATCATTTGATGCTATATCGCGGTACCAAATAATGAGCCTAGCATTTTGGCACCAATTGAGATAATCATCACCTGAAAGGATCAGCTCATCGAATAGATCAATGCACCTTTTCTCCAAACTGTCGCTCAATTTGAGATATTGACATCTCTGAAGGTCAAGAAATTTAAGAAGAGGTCATTTATCAAGAATGGAAATCAAACCAACATCAGAGAACTAGTGCCCTCCAATATCAAGATCGCATAATCCAGACACAATTTTAGCGATAACAAAAGCTATGGCATTAGACTCACGATATTCCAACAGCCATCCAATATAATATGTAAGTGACTTCAAAAGAGGGAAAGATCGAGCAAGGACTTCGATAAAGTCTTCATATAATCTGGTAAGTGAAATATCAACCATCTCTAATCGAGGAAGCTTTCTCACAGCTTTACTAAATCCTTTATCTGAAATATTCAAGCAATCTACCAACCGCATGGAATGTATGGGATTGCGGCTGTAAAATTTGAAGTAAAAATTATAAATAGATTGGTAGATGAAAACAATAAAATATCTATGAATATAACTTTGGTATTACTTACTTATTAGCTATACATTCAAGGATATTATTGGTGCCAAAACACTCTATCAATTTCTTCAAGATGATCACAACTTCGTTTCACAGCATTGCAACAAACCTTTTCCAAATATGGATCCTCATAGGATGTATAATAGTGATGACCCATTTTAATAGTGCACCACATGAGAGGATCCTTTCAAATATTCCACCACAATTGTAACACCCTTCTAAACCCCAAAGAATATTCACAATTCTTCTAAAAAAATCATAATAAATCACCAACAAGAGTGTCAGCTCTTCATATAAAAGTTCACAACAACACATCATGCTCTGTAACACAGGTTTTCAAAATATTTAACAAGGTATATGTAACATTTAGTTTGTCAAGTCATTGCAGCGGAAATCATAGTTCAAAACACCATATTATAATACTTCATAAAATTTAGTCATGCATCATAACTCATACTTATAAATCAATACATCTCGAGTACCACGTAGGGTGACTCAACATCTTAAAACAAAATAAAGAACATAAATTCCAATTATTCGATCTCATCCCCGATGTTACATATCAGATAAAGACTCCCTTATTCAACAAAAGCAAATAAACACACTCCGAAGCTATCCTCTAATGTTTCTATGGACTATCCTCGATCACCTGCGTGTTACCCACATGGATGCAACATTCAAACGTAAAGGGTGAGTAAATCATAGTCATTATATAAGACATAAGGAATAGACATAGTAAATATGCACATAAGCAAGGCTTTACACATCATTATATCTTCATGTTATACTCACACCTTTCCAACTTCATCGATACACGAACATATATATCACCAAACACAATGTATCATCAAGCATCACAAGCAAATCATTATGCAATGTCACATAGAATATAATGCAACATCATAGACTCATTCATGTGGTACCAAAACTTCATTGATAACTCATTCATTATTATCTCCAAAGATCACCACCATAGGATCGATACCCACTTGGAACTATAAAACTTCACTATTGCACCTGTAATACGGTGAGAGAACTGATTTGGTTTTGCGTTTTATCGCAAATGTTGTGGATAGCAAGAGTAGCCACCAACTTTTATTTTATCCAATAAAGAAAGGGTGAAAAGAACAGGAAAGACCTTCGAGAATTTTTTGAGTTCGGGGGGTAGATTATGAAAAGGGAAGGTGTTAGAACCCTTTTCATCTGTAGTTATCTACGGGCTCTTAATCGCTGGCTCACTTTGAAAATGCTTTGTGTATGTGTTTGTTTGAAAATATTTTGAAAATGCCTAAGTACGTCAACTTTGTAATGATTCTTATATAAGTTAAGAATGCATACAAAGTGTTTGTTTTTGAAATATTTCAGAGAAAAAGTGTTTTGTGTAAAAGATATTTGTTTTTGTGAGCAAGCGATTACGAGCGATCTACCTACTCAAGGTCTTTATTGTAATTTTCCTCCTCCTTTAGATAGTATTACCCTACCATTAGTTAGTAGAAATCCCTAACATTGGATGTGAAGGGATATGCGAGGGTCATCCTACAGTCATAAAGGAAACTCCTAGGGGCACTTTAGCAATTTTATTGTAAGGGACTAATATCGTTTACCGAAGGCAGCATCGAAGGGTCATCAGGGGATTACGATCTTTTTAATCGAGGGTCTTTGCTAAAGCATCCCCACGTTCGAGGGACATGACTGCTTAATCGAAAGGAAACAAGGGAGGTTACCTTAGAGGTGAGTGTGTGAAAAGTGATTCAATTCAGTTATTTGATCTTGATTAGGGTTATCTAGCGTTGGTTTTAGATCTTGCCATACATACCTAGTTACTAGTAGTTATAAGGAAAGTAGTAAACTGCGGAAAGTAAAGGTGCGAAAAGTAAACCTAAACTATTACAAGGCTTCGGGAGTGGAGGTACAAGCCATAAAACTGGGGGAAATAGTAAACCCTAATTAAGACTATTACAAATCATAGTAGTTACATAATTGGGAAAATAAGCTAATGCGAAAGTAATAAAGTGTGCGAAGATTGTCAAACGACGAGAAAAGAAAATTGAAAATCGTTTTGTGATCATTTGATGATTAATCTAAAAAAAAACCTAATTGATTTTAATTTATAAAAAGAATTAATTGATTAAAAATAATTGATTAATTAAGCAAATCTTAAAATCTAGGTTGATTTTTATTTAGTTGAGAAAACCTAAGAATTTAAATTAGGGTTTATTGATTAAAAACCTAAAATTAAGTTAAAACCTAAAATTAAATTAGAATATAAAATTAAATTAGAAACCTAAAAATAAAATTAAAAACCTAAAAATAAAATTAGGGTTTGTGTTAAAAAATATTTTGAAAAATATTTGGTGAAAGAATAGGAAAAAAAGGAAGAAAAGAGTGAGAAACATATAATTGGAAAAAAAGAAATAACAAAATGAGTAAGGGTGGGTGTTGAACCCACGCCCTTAAGCATTCTCCACACCTATCATACCACCAGACCAACGCATTGGTTGTGTCAAGATAGCAGGTCTAATGTGTTATATGATAAACCTGCAAAGATAATGAAAATATGAAAGAAAATTGGCAAAACCAGGGATTGAACCTGTGACCTGAGAGAGGAGTGACTTAGCGTGCGCATTTCTACCAATAGGGTGGCTATACATCCGTTTATATAAATCAAATAATTAATATATAATATAAAATAAATGCGTAGGAGTCAAACCACCACCTCCGGTGGTCAACTCCTTCTTCTTCGGCTAGGCTTTTTTGCAAAACCTGCGAAATCAAGGCAAAGTGAGAATAAAAAGCATCCTTGGCAACTAATTGAGGCCTCACGAATCTAGTGGTGACGTTTATTTTAATTGAAACGGCCTGTAGCTAGGGTTTCAAGCATTCACGAGCTCGGTGCACTAACAATGGCATTTTGTCATTCTGGCATTAGATCTCACATGTTATGTGTCCAATATGTTCTAATGTTGGATATAAACAAATTCAAATACAACAACTTAATTAACAATGCATAAATTATAAGTTTTGGATTTGAAAAATTATACCAAACCGGTGAGGATGGAACGTGGCCTTCATGCGTTCTTTTGGCTTCAAAGAGGGTATGGGTGATCTCCTGGAACCTTCAGAGAGATGGTTGGATCGTTGAAATTGATTGATAAGGGCTGGAGATAAGAGTTTTACTTTTCCCGAATTCTTTAAAAATTTGAGAATTTGCTAGGGGTTTTTGAGGCAGCTTTCACGTGTATTTTTGGTCTGAATGCAATGTGTATTTATAGGACAATGATTTAGGTCAAGAAAATAGGATCATATCTTTGTCATTCATGGTAAAAAGATTTTATTGAAATTTTGTATGAAAAGCTTCTATATTTTCTCAATCTTATGCCAATCAACCTTGCACATTTTATTGGTCTTCAAGACACGTCCTTGGGCCTCCAATCTGATCATAATAAAGGTCTATGCACCTAAATTCAATGGTTTCATATTTTATTTGATTTAATTTTCTTTTAAATGAATAAAATCCAAATAAAAGAAATAAATATCATAAAAAATATTTGAATAGACTTAGGGGCCCTTTAATGTGTTATGAACACGTTTGGACCTAAAAACTTAAGCCCAAAAGCTCAAAAGTTCAAGTTTGCTCAATTTACTCTTCATACATTTTCTCAAAATTGGCCAACTTGTGTAAGTCATATCTCACTCAATTTCTATCATATGAAGTTGGTCTTGGACTTTTTGGAAAGTTCAAGATGCCCCTTAAAACCTCTATGTTGGTCATTTTTGCTTTTGAAGATTTATCTTGACGTAAGTTGCCTTGACAAAAAGTGTCTTTTTGTTAACTTTTGAAATGACTTGTAATGTATTGGCATATATCTCTCGAATAATGCACTTTTTGCATTTGAGCTTAGAGAGACAAAGTTGTAGAGAATTGAATTTACTTAAAAATGGGCTTTGATTTGGGAAAAGATGATGAAGCGTGTGAAAGTTATGCTTGGTTAAAGTTCAGTTGACGTCTCCTAAGGAAACCCTAATTTGGCAACTTTTTTACTTTTGATGATTTGAGGGCTTTTCTTGAGGAATCATGATCAAACTTTGATCAAATTATGAATATTACTTCAAAATGTTCATGTTGACCAAAAATCTTGAAGTTTGGCTATATGTTGACCATGGTTGACTTTTTGCCCAATACAGTTGATTTTCAGTCATCTGAGCCATTGACTGAGCAAACTTGTGATGCGAGACTTGAAAATTGATATGAGCATTCTTGAATACATATGAGAACCCATGAAAACCACTTGAGACATTGGAAACCCAATATTCCTTAAGAAATACAAAACCCTAGTTGTGGACCCATTTCTTAGGAGGAGAATTTGTCTGATCAATTCTTGAGCAACCTTGAGCATTTGAGAACCTTTTGAGAATATCTTGAAGAAAAAATGGGAGAGAAAACTTTGGGGTACAACATCACTCAATCCTCACTATAGGTTTGATGCCTTCACTGGACAATCATCATTTCATCTTCACTAGACCGAAGTCATAACTTCACTGGACCGAAGTCCTAAAATATGCCATGAATGCATGATGTGCAACAACATAAAACAAACGACCACGGCTATTCAAACAACGAACCATCATTCATATTTACATCATAACATATCATCATCATAACATTATATCATCATATAACTTGTCATAATAAAACATCATATCATCATAACATCATATCATCATAATATCCAAACATCATCATATCACACAACATATATTCATGTCATCATATCATATAAGGTATCATCATAATGTCTCTTAATCATCCTCTATTCATCTTCTAGTCATCTTAATAAACAAGTAACTTCATAATCCAACTTGAGGAACCTAACTTCATTCAAGATTAGATATTGGGAATATACTTCCTATTCTTTATTTTACTCCATATAAATCAAGTTTATCGTGTTATCTATCCAATGCTTCGAACAACATCTCATTTTGAGTTATAAAACTCAAGTTATGAATCTCTTAAGAAAATCCAATACAACCAATCAAAACTGGACATTATCGCCTGACGACACACCTTTATCGCATGGCAACGCTCCCTTCGCCACTACCATCGCCCGACAACGCTTGGAGCGACGCACTCCAGAGGCGTCACTCTTTTCTGACCTTCGTTGCTACCTATTTTTCTTGGAGACGCATCTTCGTCCTACGGCACTACCTTTGTCGCCTGACGACACAACACAAACAGGGTTTTCCTATTGCAATTTCCTACATAAACCCGTCCGATTTTTCTGCGATGTCATTATATTACAGGTCCTATAACACCATCTAATCACAGGGTTTCATCATTTATCAACATCCTATAATTCTATACTCATTATACATCAATTATAAGTCATCATTCATCAACAATTCATCAAATCCTCATCAAACAACACCAAATCATCATCTACCAAGACCTAAGGCAATCTACCATTATCTAAACCTTAAATTAAATATAATAACAATGATAAAACTATCCTTAACTTAAGATTATTGCTAGAGATTGATTCCTCTTCATGTTTTATCGGTATTCCTATGCTCTTTCTGCTTCTTTGTGCCCTAGACTTCTTTCTCTCCACAACGTCAGTTTTCACAATCATACAGAATGATCATATAAACTCTCTAACCTCTTCCTTATACCAAACTTGCCCTCTTAGACCGCTAATAATGAACTTCCCATCATGCCCTCACTTATCCTTTACTAATTACCATAATTCCCATATTTTCTCTACACCAATATTATTCTATTTATCTTAATTAAAATAATTCTAAATAATTACTTTAATTATTCTAAAAACACACAACTGGTCATTACCATTTAATTTCCTCTATACTACTCACAGTAACCCATCACACATCATAGTCGTTAAATCATCACATTCAAACATGATATTTATCTCAATCATCATGGTACACTTCATATTCATCATGAAGGCTCACATCTAATAATCAAAACATCATACACTTCGTATTGACTCGTATAATCACACTAAATTAATCAATTAAATAATTAATATAGAATTTGGGGTGTTATAACTCTCCCTCACTTAAAATAATTTTCACCCTCGAAAATTACCTGACAAAAATAAATTCGGATAAGACTCTTTCATCTGATCCCCGCGTTCCTAAGTCCAACTTTCACCAGTTTGTCCGCCCCATAATACCTTCACTAAGGAAATGTCCTTTCCTTGAAATTGCTTCACTTCTCGGCCTTTTATTTGCAATGGTAATGCCTCAATAGTCAGGTTATCTCTCACCTTTACATCATCCATTTGAATCACATACGACGGGTCTAGAATATACTTTCTCAACTGAGGCACATGAAACACATCATGTAGATTCACGAGTGACGGTGGAAAAGTAATACGATAAGCCACACCATATATCTTCTCTGATATCTGATATGGACCAACAAAACGCATCTTAAGTTTTCTAGACTTCAAAGATCTACCTACACCGGTTACCAGAGTAACTCTCAAAAACACATGATCATCTACTTGAAATTCAAGATCCTTTGTCCTCTTATAATGATAGATCTTCTGATGACTCTAAGAAGCTTTCATCTTATTCTTGGATCATCTTTATC